GGCAGAGAGGGAAAAGTAATTTTATCCAACTCAGTGAAATCAGTGACAGAATTAGAATCCAAGAATTCATGACTCCCAGTATCAGGGTAATTTCCACTCATTTTGCTTAATTTAATCCTTTTAAGAACAAATATTCAAAAGAGTGTACACAAAATGTGTTCCCTCTGGCAGATGCCAGATTTGCCCTTTCAATGCACAAACTGACTTATAAGCACAAATTAGGCTACTTATTTGTCTGAATTGGAACATGCAAAAGTACATGTGCTATTTTTGCATGTGTCCATTTAAATACTTGGCCCTTTATTTGTAAACCATAAGAACATGCAAAAAAATAAATATGATTTTGCTATTATGACTGGTATAATACAACAGTGCAGTCAGGAACTAGCTTTATAATATTGTCAGAACAATTAATGTATTCCTACTGTATGAAACACTTTGAAACTTTCTTTTATTCTATATAGCAGCATTAGGCATAGCTTGAGCTGTAAATTTACTTCAGTGAGTTAGTATTTATTGGGTAAAAAAGTGAATTTTTAATAAAGTCAAGCTCTCTAGAGAAAAATTCTTCCACAGATTGAGTTTAATATTAAAGCCTGTGTTTTATTTTAAAATGTATCCTTTTAAAAATCATTGCATAAGAAATTGGCTATACATACAAGCACGATTTAATCATCTAAGACTATATTTTCGAGGCAATCATCCTCCCAGGAATAACTCTGACTGATTAAATAGTTTGAGCAAACTAGTGCCTAAATTCCGAGCGAGAATTTGATTGTTGGTTTAACATGGATGAAAACAATATGGGTAAATTATTTAAAATTGGCAAAAACAGGTGCTATATTGCACAAGGCAATAAATGAGACGTGGGAAATGATCATGGACACTAGAAAGAACGAGGAGTACTGTTGGCACCTTAGAGACTAACAATTTTATTTGAGCATAAGCTTTCGTGGGCTAAAGCCCACTTCATCAGATGCAAGCAGCGGAAAATACAGTAGAAAGACACACACACACAGTGAAAAAATGAGGGTTGCCATACCAACTCTTAACCACAAGTACTCCTCGTTCTTTCTGCTGATACAGACTAACATGGCTACCACTCTGAAACCGGTCATCATGGACACAGACTCATGAATAAGACTGTCACAGAGGTGCAGCATCTGCAGCACCACCAGGCTGCCCCCACTCCCAGCAACCACAGTGCGCCCCCCAGGCTGCCCCCCCATGAGCACCCGTGGCACCCTCCAGGACACCGCCCCCCCCCATTTAGTCAGGGGTATATAGTACAAGTCATGGACAAGTCACAGGCCATGAATTTGTGTTTACTGTCCATGACTTTTACTACAAATACCTGTGATTAAAACGTAGCCTTACCCATGAGTCCTTAAAAAAAAAAAGATTGAGCCCAGTGTTCTCTCTCATATTCTCTCATTAAAGCAGGCTCCAATCTGCAAGCTGTGTGAGCTATTTCTGAATACACATGCTGTATTTGCCTACAGAACCCTGGCAATACAATTATTTAATGAATTTACACCAGTATGTTCAGATATCTGGAATTTGAAGCCAAGGTTCTTTAATGGCTTTCTTTCATGCATCCCTTTAAGTTGGGGGGGGGGGGGGTGGGGGGGGGGGGGAGGACAGGTGGCTTTTAGAAATGTATTATTTTGGAATCTAAAAGTGCATTCACTAAGGTACCAAAATTGCCCTCAAGCATCTGAGGGAAAGTCAAAAGCGGGTGGAAGAATCAACTTCCCCGGTGCACAGAGCTAAAGCAGAATCTGAAGTCTAAAAAAGTCCTCTGCCCTAACACACCATATATAAGGTTGGGCTCCCCTAAACTGCTGCTGCACACTGCTATATTGTGAACCCCTGTGCACCAGCAGGGGCTCCTCGCACCAGCCCCTTCACTCCCAGCACAGAACTACACTATTTCCATTTTCAGATGTTCTTTATACCTGCACAGGAAGCAAAATCTGAGTTTAAGTGCACCCTGAAAAACACCATACTATCCATCCCCTGTCATGAATTAGATCCAACTTGCATGTCACCAATATGGCCTGATGCACTCTGAAAAGAAATACTCCATAAAACTAAGCTCTACAGCAGGGGTTCTTAAACTGGGGGTCGGGACCTCCCAGGGGGTCGCAAGGATAAAACGTGGGGGGCTGTGAGCTGTCAGACGCCACTCCAAACCCCACTCTGCCTCCAGCATTTATACTGGTGTTAAATATATTTTAAAAGTATTTTTAATTTACAAAGGGGGTTGCACTCGAAGGCTTGCTATGTGAAAGGGGTCACCAGCAGAAAGTTTGAGAACCACTGCTCTACAGTGTTACAGTAACTAAGGGCTTGTCTACACTGGCAGTTAACAGTGCTGCAACTTTCTCCCGCAGCGGTGTGAAAAAACACCCCACTGAGTGCAGCAAGTTGCAGCACTGTAAAGCGCCAGTGCTGGGAGCTACGCCCCGCGTTGAAGTGGTTTTTTTAGCGCTGTGCCGCAACCACACAAGGCATATTAAAGTGCTGCCAGTGTAGACTGGCCCTAAAGTATTACATCTAACCTGTGAGGTCCTTTTTCCCCATTAACAATTTTTTCTAGTGCAAGTTCACTGTTATGGCAGATATCAAATTGAAAAACTAAACTCTGGCCCACAGAAAACTAGCTTAGTTTGTGTAGCTAAAGAGAAATCAGAATTTCCTTTTTAAAAATAACACAGAAATAGTCACAGATCTGTAATCCAACTAATAAAATTAATCTCTGCCTTAAGAGTTGCTGTACCAGACAAGAGAGAGTTTAAATCCTTTTCTAGTTTATAACTAGGATTTACCAGAGCCCTTGAGGCTCTTGCAGTGACTGCAGCCAGAGTCCCTGCAGTACCTGTCATCTCGGGAAGCAATTCCATCATCTTCAGCCCAATATTAAAACAAATTACCTTTCCCCTGATTCATTCACAAAAGCAAGTTTTCTAAGAGAAAAATCATTAGCAATAGCTTTAGCACGGCCTAGTCTTATTTACAAACTTTCTGATAAAACCAGAGTGAATAAAAACCTCATAAAGCAGAACTTTTTCTCTCAAAACAATAGCACCCAGTTTTCTCAGTCTTTTCCTGCAAGTTTCTGTAAGATTTCCCAAAAAGGTGAGTCAGTGTATTTTTGTGTAATTGGAATCCCTTTATTAGTATATACTTTAGATCAGGCATCAAATTACATCTTACAATTGTATTTTAACATATTTGATTAGGTTCACTGTTTTGTTGCCCCAAACATACACAAACTGCTTAATTTCTTATTTGATATAGGGCAAAGATATCAGAAATGCAGCATTTTAAAGAACAATCTAAACATATATAAAGGGATACTTAATTTGCATGTGCCCAATGCTCAAAAATGGACATGCTGGTACCTTTCAAAGGGAAAATATTCTCTGCCTTGGTGGAGTCTGAGCACTCATCTTCATTCGAAAGTGTATTTTAGCACGTAACTGATTTCACCCTATCAGCATACCCCTGGCTCATCTGTCAAATGATTGTCAGACAGTATTAAAAATTAGCACTTAGATAGCAAATACAATTCATATCAGTCAGCCAAGGCACTGATCATCAAGTTTATGCTGCCACTGTGTATCACAGTTTAGCAAATCTTACAATTAAACTTTACCTTCGTGTCAAACTCCCGCAATTGTTATTTATCTAATTTTAAACTATATGTTTTAGCAGCAGTTGAAACTGAGTGTGTTAGCGTTTAGAATATTCTAAGTTGACATTTAATTCAAGTGGATCTACATTTTTGAATCCATGCACATCAGTTTTCCCCAGTCTCTTTTTGAAAGTACAAACTGTAATTCTATTTTAATTTAAAACAAACAGCATACAGGTATATACATTTTTAAAATAAGGTAGTTTTCCAATTGAATTTACCTCCTATTAACAACAGGAATGAAACTGCAAATTATGATTTTTCAGTGTAATTAGCAGTGACAAGAAAGTAAATAATACTTAAAGTGTTTTTGAAAGGCTTCCCTAATCATGGTGCAGATAAATAGTTGTCCATTGAAAGTTATTTATCTGAGTGCAACACTAACAACACTTTGGATGAAGAAAATACTACTAAGAATATCCAATATACCTATACTTTAAAACAATTTTTCTGTCAACATAATTACAAAAGTGTTAAGTTACATTATACATGGTAAAAAGTTAGATTTATTGCATATTTGAACTAGCCTGGTTTTCTGGCACAGATTCGAGTTCCAGTGGTTATACAGGTGATGGTTCCAGTCTTTAAACTGGAAGCCAACATTCTATCAGCAGCCTTCTCCAAACAGTAAAACTTGCATCGGTGTTAGTTGCTCTAATAGACTGTCCTAAAGGAAGAGTTCTTTTAAATATGGAAGGAAAAATACACAAAAACACTTTCCATTGTTACATTTTAAGCAGCCTATTTTCCCCTACTGGCATACAGTAAAAAGCTAAGGTTCCACTGCAGTAAATATAGATAAAATGTGATTCTGCCGTCCCTTGTAGGTGCGAAGATGCAATTTACACACCCCTGGAGGGGTATGGCATACCAAATTAGAAAAGCCTTGGGCAAAAGTCCACTGAGGAAAACTGCCACTGAAGCCAATTATACCACGAATTATTAGCTAGATAAAAGGTAAATTACACTGTCCCCCCCGGACAATAACGAGGTATATATTATCTCAAATGAAAGGCTTTATGTTATGCATCACTGATAATAAGGTTTTGTATAATTACAGAATTACAAAAAGTATTGTCCAAAACTATCGTCTGCAGGACAGCTGTTTCATACCAATTGCCTCATTTTTATAATTACAAATAGTATTGGATGACTTGCAAAATAACTTTTGCTCAGTAAAGTGTATTTTTCTCCCAATAAAGAATTAAGAGAGTACCTTCCCTTAAAAGATATAATGAAATAATGTCTGGTGCTTCTCTCTCTCTCTCTCACACACACACACACACACAGAAGACAGATGTGCATCTAGGGTGTGTTTAATCACCTTTCATTTCAATGAACAAATATCAGAAGAATCAATAATGCACAAGTCAGAACTCTGAAGAGGCGAGTCAAAAAACCGTAAGTAAGTTGAGGAGGGAAAGAAAGAAACAAAGAAAGAAACAAAGAAAGAGACAAGGGACAAGGTTTTTAGGACTCTTCTTCCATAGCTATATCCTCTTGCAATTTCTGAACCATTTTCTCCTCCAGCCGTTTTCCTTTGCCTTCAAAAGAAAAGACAAATCAAGCATTTTAACTGAATACACTTAACAAAAATTGTCTAGAGGGAATTCTCAAATTACAGCAATCAAGTTAACACACACTTATTATGACCTTTATCATCAGCTAGCCATACTGATAAACAGGTTTTAACAAAAAGAGAAAGCTGTCATTACTTTAAAGCAATAACTAAAATCAGCTTCACTTTCGCATAATACACTGAACATTCCCCTCATCTAGTACCATGGACTTTCACCAGTTGGCAGTATCAATCAGAACTTCATGCAGTAGTATGAACCACTCCTTTGGTAAAGGGAGCAAAACTGAGAGGCTCCTGCTCACTTCTCCAGATTTAGAAGAACTGTCCCAGCAAAAAGGACACCAAGGGGAGGATTAAAGCGGAGAGAAATGTAGGCAAAAGCACTATGCTCTTTTACACTGCCCACTGTTAGCACCACACAGAAGACAGCTACAATATTATAGACAATTTGTTGTAATGGATTATATTAACATTACCATATAAAATATAATAGTATTTTATAATATATCAAATCAACATCCCCCAAGATCAATTTTTTCAAGGCATTAATAGACAAATATTCAGCTGCTCTCCATTCTATGTAAGGGTAGTTGTGTGCCTAATTGTATGCAAAAGATGGAGATCGTTTGAAAACATATCCTGTAAAAACCATATCTAAGAATAAAACAAAATTCACAAATAAGACAATGTCTACACAATCTATTTTACCAATAACTTTTAATGCATAATCTAGTATTCGTAGTTAAAAAATTTTGGACCAGCAGAAAACCAGTTAGGAGGAACACATTTTTCCAACTGTAACTCAATTGGAACCAAGAAAAATGTAAAGTTTGCTCAGTAATGGAGAATATAAATTTGTATCTATGCATTCACCAGATACATTTTGGTTAATATTAACAACCTATTTTTGAATTGTCTAGTTAATTAGCTGTATCACATTAAGTTTAACAAACATTTGCATTTGAGATGTCATTACAAACACTCAATTATAGAATGAAAGACAAGATGAGTGAGGTTCAATAAAAGATAATACCTCATCCGCCTTGTCTCTCTCATGTCCTGGGACCAACATGGCTACAACACTGCAAACAACTGAATTATAAAATGTCACTTCCTCAAAAGGGATTATTTGCTATTGAGTCCAACATTTCAAGAAGTCTGACATTGTACAGATGTAGTAACTACAATGTGCTCAATGTGTGCCAACGACTGATTTTAAAATGATGGAGACCAGACATATAACGAGTATTTTGATACTGTAGAATTTGAATAGGTAACAGACACTGATGGAATTCTGTCTGCCATGGGTGAAGTTGTTCTTGTGGGAGAAGGAGTGAGAAGGGAATTATATCTGGCTCATTAAATGATGTATGTTGCTCAAAATAATTATACATGAACTATCCAACCAAGGATTAAATAAATCCAGTTCTTACCGGCATGTGGAGCCCGAACAAGGTGTATGTTTTGCTTGACTTCTTTGATGTCTTGTGCCTTCTGCAGTTCTTTGCTCTTTTTTAATCTGAGAATAAGGGGGGGTTATTATTTGGAGATTATATACTAAAGCTTACTTTCTTTTTTTTAAATAAATGTATATACATCATGTGTAGGGCTCTGTGTCTGTCACGGAATTTGCAGAAGTCACAGATTCCGTGACTTTCCGCAACCTCCGTGACTTTTACAGCTACTGGTGTGGCTGACCCCAGGGCTGCCCAGGCAGCTGCTCAGGTGGCCCCAGGGACAGCCACACCAGCCACTGCTGGAGTAGCCCCACAGCCAGCTGTGGCTGGCCATGGGGACCACCTGAGCAGCAATCCTGGGGGCTGTGGGAGCTGCGGCAGGTGGGCGGCCTCAGGGGTAGCCACTACTCAGTGGCCCCCAGCAGCAGGTGCCATTGGCCCACCCCCTGAGAGCAGCCCCCTCCCCCACTATGATTTAGTTAGGGGTATAGAATACAAGTCACGGACAGGTCACGGGCCGTGAATTTTTTTCATTGCCTGTGACCTGTCCATGACTTTTACTACAAATACCCACGACTAAATCGTAGCCTTAAGCATGTGTATTAAGTCTTAATGAAATTCCACATCTCTCTCAGAGTCCATTCGGGAATTATAGTGGCAGTTACAACTTAAATAGAATCCAATAAATACTGATGCAACGGGATGACAACGAAAGAAAGTTTCAAACTATGAGAAGTTTATTCAGATTTTGGAAACCTCAAACAACAAACAAGTCTTCCCCCACCTTCCTCCAAATATCAGAATACAGCTCCTAATGTTTGGCAAGACCTCCTTTCCCTTGAACAGTCAGCATTATGTAGATTCATTTCTCAAGCTTCCTAGTGTGTTACCATGCTGACCAATATTGTCTTTGTTTTCTTGTATTCCCCAGTCTGTTTCCATCTGCTGTCTGTTGCCTTAAACTTAGACTGTATGCTCCTTGGGGCAAGGACTGTTTTGTTGTGTTATTGCAACGCCTAGCATGGTCCTAGTCCATGACTCTCCTGTGTACTACTGTGCTACACATAATAAATTAATAATACTTGCACTACCGTTCGTGTGTAAGAAGCAAACAGCCATTTAAAATTTGCGAGCATCATCTCCATGGAGCAAGGGCTATCTCTTTGCAGCATGCCTGTACAGCATGATGCAACCCAGAACCTGACTGGGATTTCTTAAGTGCTACTGCAAATCCTTCTCACCTGTTCATGATAAATTTAGCTTGGCGTTTTTGTTTGATCTCTTCCACTCTCTTCATTGCATCAACTGAAACAAACAAAAAACAGAGTTTTTAAATATTTTTAAACATGTATGTTTGATAATCTAATTAACATCCTGAAACAATTTAACTAGTACTGTTTTAAAGGCACATTTTACTATAATGTGTTCCTTAATATGCACAGAACCCAGAATAAAAGAAACATCTAACAATTATAACAGAGAAGTTCTCTTTGCAATGTAGTACTGACAGATACTATTCTGTAGCTAGAAACTATCATCAATTTTACTTTAAAATTTCAGTTCAAGTTTCCACTTTGTCTATACAACCTCTCTCTTATCCCTTCCATCCTTTCTCACAATGGAGGACTTTTGTTTCTAGTTCACCATTATCCAAATGTCATTACCCTTTCCCCCTTAATAATACTTCTTCCTAACTTAAAAATAAATGATGGTCTCACATGCCACAAAATTATCATGATTGCTATATTTTGTTTCAAACTAGTGTAGAATCAATGGGATCAAAAGAACAGGACAGCATAGCTTTAAAAGACAGCAGGAGACAGAATCACTCAAACACTAATATAGTGGATAAGAATGCAGTTTGATTCTATACTCTGATTCTCTAACACAGAGGTTGTCAAACTGTGCTCCGTGGACCACTGAGCTCCATTCAGGTGGTCCATGGATAGTTCCCTCTAAGGTGCGCACCTTGGCTGCCGCACACAAGAGAATGAAGGCAGGCATGGCTCCACTAATTAGGTGCCTGGACCCTGGAGAAGACGCACATGTAAGGCGAGATGGTGGCCTTGGGGGAAATAAGGGGGAAGGTGGGATGAGGTAGTGGGGTGAGAAGAGTGGGTGGGGGGAATTTGGGATGTGCAGGGCTGCGGCAGCCGGAGAAAGAGACTGCTTTCCCAGCTCTAGGACTGCGGCTGCCGGGGAGAGATGGCCCTCCTTCCCAGCCTCAGCTCTGTGGCTAGTGTGGCAGGGGAGAGACCCCCCCCCTCCTTCCCAGCCCCAGCTCACAGACTGCCGCAGTGGGGGAGAGAGGGCACATCTATCACATTAAAAAGGTAAGGCTACTGATATTAAAATATGAGTGTGCTTTTGTTTGTAGAACAAAAAAAGTTAATTATTTTTTTAATACAGCGCTTTTATCCAAAGCGCTTTATAATAGTTAGCTAATGGTACAAACAACATTTGCAAAGATCATCAAGTGGCCTGCTGAGACCCTCAGCAATTTTCAAGTTGTCCACAACAAAAAAAGTTTGCGAACCCACTGCTCTAACAGTTCTTCAAAAAAATAAGGACAAAGTGAAACCCAATGCCTGCCCACAGCCTGACCACCCAAAAAGTTTGAACTCTTTTGAACAGCGATGTGAAACAAAAAACCAATATAAGGAAGATCAGGTTAATCCAAGATTACAGATGCATAATTCCAGTAAAATATGCTCTCCTTCCACTCCCAAATCTCTTACCTATAATTGATGAGGTTTACAAATGACTGCTCAATCAAACCTAGGGCTTGATTGACGGTGCTGTAAATTGAATAGGCAGCACAAGTATACCAACAAACTCTGCAGAGCAAATATGCTCTCACAGTAACATACTAACTTTTTTTAAAATGTAAACAATGCAAAGACAACCTAAGCATCACTCTGAGATCATGTTATAAGTGACAAGTAACGTAGCGCTTATTTTTAAAACAGAAACTCACCAACTGCTTGCTGTTGGGAGTGGAAATTTTTTATTGAAAAAATGGACTACTTGTGCAAACAGACTGAACATTAGGTACCTACTAGCAAAGATGTAATACATATTTACACAGGAACCTAAATATAATTGTGGAAACACTTAAGGTGAGTCATTAGAAAATGAAGCAGGAGTCCTGGCAGTTATGACTTTTCAGACAAAGGAACAGCACATTTTTGAATCACGATTCTCTTCAACTATTTACTATTTTGTTGTTGAAACAATTGCAAAATTAGCTATTTAAGTCTTAACAAAACTTAATATTAATTTTTAAAAATATATTTACTTAACATCACACCATCACAGGAGCAAAGAGTTAAGTAATTTACATGAATTTTAAAAGGTCTGGACAATTTTACTAGCAACTTGCGTAGGTTCACATCTAAGGGTAATCACCCTGAAGCATGAGATTTGTCATCTGATTGCTGGAGGAATGAAGCTTTTTTTTTTTTCATATGCACATAAACAAACCATTAGACCAATGCATGATGGGTTTTTCTTCACTTCCATCTGAGGGATCCAGTCAGAAGCAGGTCCGTGAACATGAAAGATCAATGATCTGATTTGTATGGCAAATCCTGTGCTCCTAACAATAGGATTGTGACAAAATGCTGAACACAGACCAAGTCAGAGTTTTTAGAGTGGTACTCCATTTTTAATTCCCACCATCATACTTCTCCCTCAAATGCAATAGGCAATGTCCAATCTCCTTAATTTTCTGGCTTTTTATTGGCATTCCTGACAAAGTCTTTTGGTCAAATTGTTTGTTTTAAAAAACTAACAAGGACAAGAACATTTCTGGTAGAAAGCTATAAATCTTCAGAGCTATGGTGATCTATTGTGTAACTATGTATTTGGAACTTGTGTAATACATATTAAAAATGCCTAAGAATGAAGAGCATTAACGACTTAACATGTTACACATTACTTGCTTTCCAGATTGCATTTTAAAAAATTTAAGCTGGTTTTAAGAACAAACACATACAAAAGTCATTCCAACATCAGTAAAAGCATTTTAAAGAACTGTTATACGTATAAAAGTCAATTTATCAGATTGCTCTGAAATTAGGTATTCAAAAATGCCTCAAAACAGACATCAAGTTTCAAACAGGAGAATGTGTTTTACTGCAGAGTTATATACCTATGAAAACTGTTTTGTAATTAAAGTTCTGTGAATGACAATGATTTACAAAGGCAAATAAATATTGTAATTTATGATTACAGTTGATAACTGAGCACCATTATATAGAGTGATAAGACAATCATATTCTATTACTATTGTTTTGTAGAAATGGAAGCAGAAAACAAAGTATATCTGTAATCCGAGCAGAATCTTAGTTTTAGTGCTGAGTTGTCCCTATCAAGTTTGATATTACCCTTTTTACAAATTAAGTGGAAAAAACGTGTGGACTCATTTACCATAAAAGGCATCAATCATATGGGACAGGTCTATCTAGATTATAATGAAAAATTACATTTTATTTTTTTATGAGAATACCAAGACTAATCCATTTCATATCAATGATGTGCAGCTGGGAGGCAGAACAAAAATTCCTGTTTTAGGTTGGGGCACATTTAAAAATAAATCTCTTTTCAGGTTTCTAGTATTTACAAAAGACTAATTATAAATATGAACATCAAGGTTTAAAGTCTTCTGACAACTGTACATGGATAGAAGAGCTTATTCCCAGCTAGTCTTCTACAAAAGCTGGCATTTCCTAAAGTGACTTACCGGTTTTGCTCCACAGCTCTCTCTGGTATTTCACTGGCTCATTTCTACGTTTTTCAAACTCAAATGAATTATCCTGTGTAAAAAAGGAAAGCGAATACAGCTTACATTGAGACACAGTAAGTGGGCAATACATAGTTTTAGGAACAAGTAGCTGCATAAATATCCACAATTTATATTTGTGAAAAGAAATCTAAAGGATCTCAACATAAAACTCCCTTCATTTTATCTGACAATATGATTGAACAAGATATATAATCTATTATAGACATTTCTCTAGACCTAAAACAAAAAAATTTAAATACAAAACATCTTAGCAGCTCTCAATACTAATTTCTGCTACATATCATTGAATTCTAAACTTAATATTTAAAAATATACTTTTGTGTCAGGTCTTAAAGGGAAGTACCCCTTTTCTCCCCTGAACGCCCAAAGCAGGGGTGAAGACCAGAAATTACCCAATATGATCATTTTCTGAGGTAACGTTGAGTCTTGGCAGGGGGTGAATAATCCCAGAGCCCTGTTGTGATGGCTAAGAAGGAACCGATAGCTTGAGAAGCATTGCTCTATCTGATGTGGGGGACCAGCAATTTTTTTCCCCAATATGCGCACAGACCGGCAGCTGATGGCTCGCAGACCACCACCAGTCTGCGGACCACCACTTTGAGTAGCACTGCCATAGAAGACTCTCATAGCAGCAGCAGGCAGTAATGCTAAGAGGCAGAACTATGCACTCTGACCTATGCTATGTTACTGTGTTAATTTAACAAGATAGGGGAGAAAATAGGCATGAGAGAAACACCTCTCACAAAGATATTTAACAAGAGGAAGCAGGCAAGCAAACAGATTGCCTCAGACATGAGCTACCAATGAGAACATTATGCAGGGGGTTCTAGGTGGGCACTAACCCTCTATATATTAATCACCACAGCGAGTTGTCTGCAGAGAAATAGAGAACCACTGCCAAACAGACCTCTATGCCCTTATCCTCCCTTCATCTCACTGAAAACACAATCACTGACTTCTCCACTGCTATGGGACAGCCCCGTTTTGGAGATGTGGAGGCTTGAGCCGACCCTCTCCGCCTTCAGATAAGCAAAGGATTCCTTCTTCTGTGAGAGTTGAACTATACAGACATCACCTGCTGTGCTTCAAAGGGGCACACTGACTGCAAGCAGAGGGAAGGAGAACAGCCAACACAGACTGTTTGACATGGTTTTCCCTGTTCCCACCACCTCTAACATATCCTACACACAGCAATCACGACTTTTTTTAAGTGGTTAGTTCCCAGCAGGCCCCTTCCTCCCTCACAAAGTAATCCCTGCATGGCTGTCTCTGGACCTACCTATTCTCTTCTCTCCTCTCACTCTCCACATGGCTGTTGCTCCACATCTTGATGTAGGATGGGCATCATCCACACCTGCCTTGCTCCCCCAGTGATGAAGTATCTGGAGGTCAGTGGCATTTAATTCTGTTGAGCTCCATCCTGACCAGCTACTAAGAGCACCATAGCAGCATCTCTGCCCAGTGTGGCAATAGCTGGGCTACCTTCTACTACCTGTCCACTCCATGCTGTTGCTAAGAGAGTGCCCTGTGGCGCTCCCTCCCTCAAATATCAGTAGGACAGGGTTTATTCATGGTTTTGAGATGGAGATTTTGGGGACCCCACATCACTACCACCCTCCAAAGAGCAAACATATTGGCCGTAACCCTCACGTTTTTGTTAGTCAGGGACAAGTCACCATTTTAAACAAAGAAAACTTGGTTTGAACGGAGAGCAGAGTGGGCAGCAGTTCTCCTGAGTCAGCACCAGGTAGTTACGCACAACAAAATAACTAAAAATGGTATCAGATGGCTATTCACGGAGTCTAATATATCATTTGCTTGTTTCCAGATAGTTCTCAGAAAAATGCCAAAGCACCGCTTGTAAACGGTCTCACACAATTTAACATCATTCACAATCTTCATTGAAAAAAATCTTACTGAAGGTCAGTTTTAAAGACACTGGAAGACAAAAAAATTCCTTTTTTATCTGTTAGCTGGAACTGCAAAGTTAAGCTGTAAAGAAAATACCAATCCTTTAAACTCCTCTGTATTTGAACATCTTCATTTGATAAACATCTTAACAGCAAGAAGAGAGAATGCAGAGTGCTAAAGGCCAAATCATTTTGCTATGGCTCTTAACAGTTAGAGCTGCAGACCCTCAACACCCAGGAACTGCATTCCTAATTGGTAACTATCCTATTCTCTTTCCAAACCAACTTCAGATTGCTTACTGCTTGGAGAAACATTCTAAATTATTTATTGTCTATGTAGATGTAATTTACATTACATCCTTCTGCCAAAAATCATGTTTGTGCAGTGAACTTAAGAAGCAAGAGTAAGATATTAACATTTTGGGTGAAGGACTATAGGTTTGGGAGGCAAGGAGTGAGTTTTGTTTTTTGGAGCTGGGGAGAAGGACACTGAGTGAAGCTAGTTCTAGAAAAAAGCAGAACAGAGTAACTGTTTTATGCTTTGTCCATGTCATTGTCTTTTCAGTTACCACCTAAACAGTGAAAAGAAATACTTTGCTCACCTATAACACCTTTCAGCCAACGATTGCAACACACTTTGCAAAAAAATTAAGGCTCACAACACCCTTGCTAGGTATGCAAGACCCCTTTTTACAGAAGCTGAAGAGAGGTATGGTTACATAGGTCATCTATGGCAAGAATCAGAGAGAGAATCCAGATCTCCGCGCTCGATTTTATGCTTTAACTACAAGACTAACTTCTCAATAAAAGAAGCAAGGAACATGAACCCAATGGTTTTGCAGGAGCCATAAGATCACCATTAAACACCTGATCAAGTCAGACTACAGACATTTCAAAAGACAAGAAAAACCTAGAGAAATCTCCTGGGGTTCTAAAAACTTGTAATATCATTACTAAGCTTTAAGAGCCATTTGTACAGAAAAGTTAGTTAGGAAGCAGTTTGCAACTTTTCATAGTGATCCTTCTTGGTACTTTGAAAGTAAGACTTAAACCCAAATTATATTCAAGGGAGGTAGAAAAAGTTCTGGGTGGCTCCAGTCTACTTGAACTTGGGGAATTTTCAGAAATCAAAATGCAACAACCTGGACTAGATCGATCAATTAGGTCAGGAGTTAGAAATGCCAGGAGTAGTAGTCTAAATGTAGGTCCTAAAGACAATCTGGTCAGTTTAATTCTGAACCAAGAATCCTGGTAACAACCCAAGCTCTGAAAGGGGAGAGGATGAGAAGTACAAAGACAAGTATTTTGTTATGTCCTAAATTATTCTGAGTAGCCTTAACTGACACCAACTAGAACTGCAAAAAGTTTTATACAGCTGTCTCAGGAAGTCTCTCCTCTACTATACTGAGGAAAAACTTCTCATGAGTATTCCCAGACTAGCTGATCAAATGCCACTCAGAAAGACAGCCCCAAAAAGTAAGCATTAATAGATGTTCCATCCAGTCTAAGTACAGCGGCAAGAAATCCCCGGAGAAAATCATCATATGTTAGTACCAGAGATCTGAACACCCTCTAAGCAAAAAGTGGCTGCAAAAGCCTCTCAGCACCCCAGAAGTGCTCCTAAAAAGGTACACACAGCACTGTCCAGTTGCTGATTACATTACAGCTAATAACATTCATTTGCTGCTGGCGATGCTAAAAAAACAGCTAAATACTGACTGGCTAATGTTCAGTTCAGCACATATATTTTAGTGGTATTTTGATAGGTAGTTCTGGTGCTAGCCATGACTCTGTAGACGATTCCACCTCTTTTCAGTTTATTTTCCCTAATAACAGGAACCCTTTAGATCTAAATAGAGCTTTCATCTACAATATACTATAACTTGGCCTTATATTTGACAGTTTCCTTTTTAATTTTTGTTTTTCCTTTTCTTTATAATTAGAATAATGTCAGCTTCTGTTAGGATACTGTTAAGCCTAAAATCTGAAGTGAAGAGCTTAAGAGAATGTGAGAACAGAACCAACTAAGATCTTCTGACCATTCTTCCTACTCCATCAGCTCAGGGATCTCAAACAAAAAAAAACACCTAAAAAAACCCCCACACCCAGTAATTCTAAATTAGTTTTTAACAGTATAGTAACACACAGCACCTCTTCAGAAGACCCAGTTATTACATGGCTGCCTAAAGATTATGTCTGGCAGGCACATTAAAAACCACACTCTTGGCTAACTGCACAATAATATCCACAGGGAAGTTACATAGACAGCAGTAGGTCACCAACAGTGCCAAAAAGTATTGAGCATCCTTATTTTGCTGTTAATAAAAGCTAATAAAATCCCAATAATCCTCTATTCAAGGACTGTCCTAACCATGTATGCATATTTAATCAATTTCTCCCAGGGAAGTAAATCTGTCTTGAAATTCTTTTAACTTTTTTTTAAAATCTATTTCATGCTTGGAAAATGAAAGAATCCTTGTGGGGGAAGATTCTTCTTATAATTCTCTCCTTAGAGAGAAAGATCAACAAAGTTAACTGCCTTACACTTGAGAAATCTATACAGTCTACAGATTAAATTAAAGATGCTTCAGAACAAAAAGTATATTACATGGGGAAAAATGCTAAAATGAAAGTAAACAAGGGAAATATTCTTTTCCAATAAATAAGTTTTGAGTCTGAGGAAAGCGTAAGTAAGATGTTCGTCAAAACTGCATCATCATAACTGCCGCACATGAAGCACTGAAAGTCTAGAACTTGATGAGCGGACCAGTTAATGACAGGCATAAGAACAAACTGGTAGGCGTGTTAGTTTTCTCTGATATGACACCTGCCCACACAACCAACCCCATGAGTAAACACTCAAATATCCATGCTATCAAATGTGGGTACAATAGATAAAAGTGCTGTATACGTGTAACTACCTGATTTGCGGACACCAGTGTACTCATCCAAGTTGTCATTTGCATCCCCAATCAATAACAGGTGCAGTAATTTTAAAATTTTCACTCCTTAATTAGGACTTGTCTGCACAAAAAAGTTGTACTGCTTTAACTATACCCACATAGTTCTTTACAACTGCCCTTCCCCTGGCCAGTGTGGATACAGTTATACTAGTATAGTCTAACCACCATAATTGTACCAGTACAAAAGTTCTGGGTAGACCAGGCCTCTGTGAATGCCTATGTTCAAGAAAAATTAAGAACTTCTGCACCCTACCCCCATATCTGTCACTGAATGACTTGCAAAAAGCCAAACAAACCATCTCTGCATTTTGTTTTGATTTCTGTAAAAAAGGAGGTGATACATAACTTACAGGTGGGTTGCAAGGTTTAATTTGCATTTGTAAAATACTCTGAGTGCATTGGATGAAAGATGCTACAGAAGTGCAAAATACTATGTTGCTGTTGTCCATGCTGCCCATCCCTCTCAGCAATGGAGAACAAACCTTTTTCACGGGGCTTTGGGCCTTGCTGCCCCTGTACGTCTGGAAAGCCAGAAACCCAGAAAAAGAAACCTCTGTAAAACTAATTTCCATTTGTTTTTACTGCTGAATGTGTGGTTTGAGGAATTTTTTTTAAACTAACAGATTTTAAAGGAATCTCCAAGTCTGTGACTCACAGTAGTGTGGAAGCTCAGGCATTTACTTGATAAATTGGGAACAGAACATCTCGAAATTTAAATTAATGTACAGTCTTACGATTAAAAGTGATTCAAGCAAAATGGGCAGTTCTTTGCCACTTCACAGCATCATTATCTGTGATAAGATTAGCCATTCTTATCACAGAGACTGCATGTTTATGACCATAAAGTTTAAAGCTACAACTACTACTACATTATTCTTCACATGTCAGACAATCCTTTTTGATTCTAAATGATTAGGAGTGCCATGAAGAATAAAAATAATGGTTATATCTATTTATTTTCACAGTAATTCAATGTTATCAAGCAAGAAGAAAGCACAACACATTTAAACTGAAAATACAGAAGCCTAATTAGAAAGGCAAATTTCAGGGTGAAGAGTAAAGAATGGCTAGTTTTAAACTTTCAAAGAAAAGCATGCTGCATATTTGTGCTTTATTACTGAGAAAATGGAAAGACCAAATTGTATTTTTAAAGCACTGATTTTGTTCTCACTGTCTCTGGGGTCACACAAGCACTTCCACACCGTGACTTGCCTGGCTATGGCACTTGGAGTATTGCACGTGTAATGTTCATGTTTTGTTTTTATTCTTGGCCAGGACTTAAACACACATAGAAGTGTGTTTAAATTCTTTAGTAGCACAGCAGTACCAAGCACTTACCACTGTTAGTTCTTTACCAACTGCTTTTCGGAAGGCTTTGGTCCATCTGACCTTTCTGGGATTTCGTTTCTTTTTAAAGTTTTTGTGGCATTTTGATCTGCAGAATCTAAAGACCTAAAGAAAGATTAAATACAAACAGAAAAAACTTCTATAATAAAAGGACATTATTGCCCACCCCATCCAAAATAACTCGGATGTTAATCTTAGTTATAAAAAGAAAAGAAGTACTTGTGGCACCTTAGAGACTAACCAATTTATTTGAGCATAAGCTTTCGTGAGCTACAGCTCACTTCATCGGATGCATACTGTGGAAAGCGTAGATCTTTTTATATACACACAAAGCATGAAAAAATACCTCCTCTCACCCCACTCTCCTGCTGGTAATAGCTTATCTAAACTGATCACTCTCCTTACAATGTGTATAATAATCAAGGTGGGCCATTTCTGTGGGACCATGCGGGTACCCATCATCTCAGGCATTGGCACCCTGACAGCAGGATTGTCTGGCTATGTAGACTCCCTCCTCAGGCCCTACGCTACCAGCACTCCCAGCTACCTTCGAGACACCACTGACTTCCTGAGGAAACTACAATCCATCGGTGATCTTTCTGATAACACCATCCTGGCCACTATGGATGTAGAAGCCCTCTACGCCAACATTCCACACAAAGATGGACTACAAGCCGTCAAGAACACTATCCCCGATAATGTCACGGCTAACCTGGTGGCTGGACTTTGTCCTTACCCATAACTATTTTACATTTGGGGACAATGTATACCTTCAGATCAGCGGCACTGCTATGGGTACCTGCATGGCCGCACAGTATGCCAACATTTTTATGGCTGACTTAGAACAACGCTTCCTCAGCTCTCGTCCCCTAACGCCCCTACTCTATTTGCGCTATATTGATGACATCTTCATCATCTGGACCCATGGAAAAGAAGCCCTTGAGGAATTCCACCATGATTTCAACTATTTCCATCCCACCATCAACCTCAGCCTGGTCCAGTCCACACAAGAGATCCACTTCCTGGACACTACAGTGCTAATAAACGATGGTCACATAAACACCACCCTATACCGGAAACCTACTGACCGCTATTCCTACCTACATGCCTCCAGCTTTCACCCTGACCACACCACACTATCCATCGTCTACAGCCAACCTCTACGAAACAACCGCATTTGCTCCAACCCCTCAGACAAACACCTACAAGATCTCTATCAAGCATTCTTACAACTACAATACCCACCTGCGGAAGTGAAGAAACAGACTGATAGAGCCAGAAGAGTTCCCAGAAGTTACCTACTACAGGACAGGCCCAACAAAGAAAATAACAGAACGCCACTAGCTGTCACCTTCAGCACCCAACTAAAACCCCTCCAACGCATTATTAAGGATCTACAACCTATCCTGAAGGATGACCCAACACTCTCACAAATCTTGGGAGACAGGCCAGTCCTTGCCTGCAGACAACCCCCCAACCTGAAGCAAATACTCACCAGCAACCACATACCACACAACAGAACCACTAACCCAGGAACTTATCCTTGCAACAAAGCCCGTTGCCAACTGTGCCCACATATCTATTCAGGGGACACCATCATAGGGCCTAATAACATCAGCCACACTATCAGAGGCTCGTTCACCTGCACATCCACCAATGTGATATATGCTATCATGTGCCAGCAATGCCCCCCTGCCATGTACATTGGTCAAACTGGACAGTCTCTATGTAAAAGAATAAATGGACACAAATCAGACATCAAGAATTATAACATTCATAAACCAGTTGGAGAACACTTCAATCTCTCTGGTCACGTGATTACAGACATGAAAGTTGCTATATTACAACAAAAAAACTTCAAATCCAGACTCCAGCAAGAAACTGTTGAATTGGAATTCATTTGCAAATTGGATACAATTAACTTAGGCTTGAATAGAGACTGGGAGTGGCTAAGTCATTACGCAAGGTAACCTATTCCCCTTTGTTTTTTCCTACCCCCTCCCCCCCCCAGACGTTCTTGTTAAACCCTGGATTTGTGCTGGAAATGGCCCACCTTGATTATCATACACATTGTAAGGAGAGTGGTCACTTTAGATAAGCTATTACCAGCAGGAGAGTGGGGTGGGAGGAGGTATTTTTTCATGCTTTGTGTGTATATAAAAAGATCTTCTACACTTTCCACAGTATGCATGCGATGAAGTGAGCTGTAGCTCACAAAAGCTTATGCTCAAATAAATTGGTTAGTTTCTAAGGTGCCACAAGTACTCCTTTTCTTTTTGCGAATACAGATTAACACGGCTGTTACTCTGAAATCAATCTTAGTTATGTTACTCTACTGGCACTATTCAGTGCCAATTTAAAGAATCAGCATTATTTTTTCCTTATAATGAAAAGTACCAATGAAACTAAAGTTATTAAGTATAGGACAGAAATTTTAGCTTTCATGGAAGCCAAACCACACCGAACAGCCAATGAGCCTTAGTCTGAACCTGAAGGATCTACCAGAGATTAGGAAATACAGTGCATTCCTCATGCCCATTCTGGCAAAAAAAAAAAAAAAACACACAAATGCCCCACCTTGGTCAGTCTGGTAGCGAGGGAAAAATTTCTTCCCAGTGCAAAAAAGGAACTTTACAACACCACAGCAGACCAAAACAACTGGTCCTTTGCTATTCCCAGGGTGGGAGCTGCTAATCTGGGCACGAAAGAAGGCTCAGGCAGGAGGGACATGGTTTATATACCCTCCCATAAGTGGGGAGAGGCCAATGGCTTACCTAAGCAACATAAACCCACCTGCCAGCTCAGGTGATGCTTCCCTGTCACCACCTCGCACTTGCCTCTCTCAAGAGGTGATCCTTAAGAAAGCCACTGTCAAATTTCCCTACCAGCCCAGACAAAGACCATTCCCCACTTTGAGGTTGTGGGGGTTGCATTTACAGCAAGTTACTTGTGTAACAGCCCTGGTGTGTTTTGGTAATTTCAACTTAAATATAGCTATTAAGCTTTACAGGGTATCCTTTTCATAATTTTGAAAAATAAACTTCATTTTGGTTAGTTCAGATCACATGTCTAAACTCTGGTCTACAATCCACAGAATAGAATTTTAATGGAATAAATATTCATTAACCTTCTTGCAGAGTAATGAATACAGAATATTTACTATTGAAACATAAAATTTCAGTGTAATGAGTAAGGTACTTGTACTGTTTCAATGGATCTTTGCACAGAAATATTAAGTTAGCATAATAGGTTTCTGCTGTTGCATGTATAACAAATGCATAATTCTGAGTGCAGTTTTATTTCACAAAATCCTGTTGTGACAGTCTGTATGCACCATTATATTCAATAGGATTTGGCAAAATGAGATTAATATATCACTAGATCATGTAAATCATTATAGAAAGATACTGAACAGGATAAATAATACAAGTGTCAATGTATCTTCTGCAATGATGGTATTATTCAAGTTAGTATGAGCTTTAGAACATTATTTTTACTTTGTTTTATTTTACAAAGTCACATTACTCTGTTTTTCACAGTATCTTCAGTTACAGTCTGCTGGGAACATGCACGCATCTATACAGGAATTACCTTTAAACAAACTGATGGTCAAAAAGCTGCAGGGAACAGGATTATTAAATTATCACGCACAGAAGTAACTACAAAACCTTAAAACTGTTCCATGAATTTTCTATACAGGTCACTTAGTCCTAGAGTGAATGCTTTTCTTACAGGATAAGCGCCCAACCACACATAAAAATAGTCAGGCTTTGAAAGGTACAGAGAAAAAATACTAAACTACTTTTTAGAACTTAATTTCATCTTTAAGGCCCCAATTCAGAAAGGCACCTAAGCACATGCCTAAATTCTAATGGTTTCAGTTGAACATAAACATCTACTAAACTTTAAAACAGTATTTCAGCACACGGTTAAGAGCTCTGCTGAATCAGGACCTCAATGGGTCAAGCATTTTTAGTCTAACACTGGTCTTTACAATAGAGCAAATGCTGATATTTACATTTTGCCACACAAGTACTTTTCTGCCCAGCCAAAACTGAAAGATTTTACCTTAATTAATTTTGGACTACATCTACAATAGGAGCAAGGGGTGTGATTCCTGAGGAGAGCTAACTCACGTATAAATAGTACTTGTAGCAGAGGCAGTGACAGCAGGGCTTAGCCAGGCCAAGCTCTGACATCCTAAACCCTGCGAGCACGTAGGCCGCATGGCTAAACCCGTGGTTTTCAACCTATCGTCTGCGCACCCTTAGGGGGCCGCGGACTACGGCGAAGATTTCAAAGCAGTCCGCATCTCCATTTGAAAATGTGTAGGGGTCTGCAAAGGGGGGGAGGGGCGGGGGAAGGGCTGAAAAGCCCAGGGCTCAGCCAAGCCACCGCCGCCCGCGCTCCGTCGACTCACGCCAGCTCCCCTAGAACGAGTGCAAGTGCGCCCGTGTGAACTGGGAAAAACCCCCCCAAGCCCCGCGCTCTCAGCACACGGCAGCCGGGCGGGAGCGGACGGGGAGCGCCCGCAGGCGTCACGGGCCGCCCGGCTGCGGGGCTACGGCCAGCCCAGGCTGCGCTTTAACGGGCTAGAGCCGGGTCTCCCGAGCCCGCCGCCAGAGCGGAGCCGGTCCTCAGACGGGCCTGCCCCCGCCCCAGGCTGTGTGGGCCCCTACGCGGGCTGGGCTTGGACCAACCCCGAGTGGCGATGCGACACCCCCCCCCCCGCCCGGGCCGCGCCTTCCGCCCCGACCTTGCAGTCGTTCCGCACGAACATGACCCCGTGCCCCGGGTAGATGGGCCCGGAGCAGAAATAACACTTCTCGATGCGCATCTTGCTGCCGACTGAACCCTCCCGGCACCCAGCCGCCTGGCCACGCCGCGCCGCGCCGCGGGAAGTGACCGAATACACCTGACCGGAAGTGTAGCTATAATGCTCCCTTCCGGATAGAGCGTCTCCTCCGTGAGGGAGAGCGACGTGAACTGTTCACAGCGCCCCCTGCTGCTTGTTCATGACCATGGCTCAGCCCAGTGCCCACAGGAGCCAATTATCAGCAAAGGAAAATCCAAGGCTATTAAATGTACAGCGGGGGCTTTTGTGGTTAATTTTTAAATTAATCTTCAGAAACAAATACAAAAAGGCAAAGGACCATTGAGGAGAAAAGACATGAAGGCAGGAGCGGGCAGGAGGCTGGAGGGAATAGCAGCAAGTTTCGGTGGAATGGAAGTCCGGCATTATCTGAGCTAGCTCAGCATTTCTTTGTCCAAATGTATCAAGAAACAGGGTCCAACTTTCATTTAATTCAAATAATTGCTCTCTGCGTCAATGAAAAAGGTGTTGTTTTTTAAAGAATTAAATTGGTAATTTTCCCAACTGTTTGAGATAAAAATATAGTTGAATGGCATAAAAATACAACAAAATGTTGATTGTAAACTCTTTGGGGCAGGAACTATCTTCTGCTCTGTGTTTATCCTGCACCTAGCATTATGGCACCCCAATCTTGGCTGGTCCCTTGCCATTACTGTAATTAAGATGATGGATGATTATTAATAATATCTAAAGCCCTGATCATGCAAAGCCTAAATAGCCCCATTGACATGCTTAAGTCTCTGTAGGATCAGGGCATAAACAAAAGTTTAAAACAATCAGCTGAAGTTTTAAAAAATTAAACAACATAAAACAACTGAGATGCTGTTTCAACTTCATTAAAAAAATGTATAACATTTTCTCAGATGTTTAACGGTTTAACAAAATGTGAAACTAAAATCTCATTAGTTTTAAGAAATCAAGGCCCCAGTTCTGCAAGCTGCTGTCTATGGCCAGACCTTTTGGTCCATTTGGGCCCTTTGTGAAATCAATATGACTCCAAACAGCTGCAGGAGTTACCACAATTCATAATACTACAGAATCTGCACAAGTAGAGGTGATAGTCCTCCACCAACCCTGATTAGTAGGAAAAAGTAATTAGTAATTAGCAGAAAAAAGTAATAAGGTTCCAAACTATATTGCTTTTTTTTATGGAGATCCACTGGATTTTGGGGATGGAGATGTGGCTTATTCCATGGGGAGGGGAAAGTAGAGGGTGACAAGACCTTGCCTTGCTCCTGGAATGATCTGAAGTAGCTCCACAGGGAGACCCTCATGGAGTTTTTGTCTCCCACCCCAGGACAACCTACTATAGGAGGAATTACTCTTCAAACATGGTGATTTCCACTGGGGCAAAGTGAGGTGCTGTGTATGATTGGAGCCCTCTGTGGTAACTGATTGTGAGGTCTGTCATTCAATTCTGGCCCAAATATACTTTTATGTCTCTCACATGTTGGCTGTGTTGTGCCTGTAAGCTACTGACCACAAAAGTAATGGTTTATGAGGTGGTAAGGACACTTTATTGTTTTTATATTCAGTTTTATTGACTTTAGAGTAATTATACAAAACTGTAAACTATGGAGGAGTTAGTGACCAATAATATAGCCAATAATAATTAGGAGTTACTGCAATCCAAATGAAAACTCTTGGGTGAAGATAAACAAGTCCCTCTCAGGACAATATCTTCATTGGATTCCTGACACTACAAGTATAACAAAAGTTTACCTTCTTTTGCAAGAGAAGCCATTACACTATATGTCTGCTGGAAGAACTCACTAACCAGGACTTACCCATAAAAGAGGAAATAATAGAAAAATACATCAACAAATATATAAATAAATTTCACTTCATTTACATATCCAACAAATAGCACTCCTGAAGTTAAAAGCATACTAATTTAAAACATAACCTTCCCAGAGCTGAATCTTACACAGAAGAGATCGTGTGCAGGAATTTTATAGTAGCCCTTTAAATAGTTTCAAAGTCTCTTGTGTTGCAGAAGCCATGAGAATCCTAACAGAACAGCAGTGCATCCAAGTAACGTGGCTTGTATGTAGTTATTAAAAACAGTTATTTGGAACCCAGTTTTCCTCATACTCTTAATGTTGTGTAAAAGACAATATGCAAAGACACAACAATGATCTAACTTCTCACAGGCCACACACTGCAACACAGTCCAACCAAACTGCCCCTCCTAACCACACACTGCAACATAGCTAGACATATGGGCTCAGCTTGAAGGCCCCAACAGGCTAAAGGAACACCACAAGGAAATATACTCTTTAAATAGGAACACAAACAAATATTTGAACGTGAAATGGTAAGCAAATAGTGTGCCTCCTCCTGAATGCTAATGGCTGCTTCTGCACAGGAGATTTGATCGACTACTGCTTCAGCAGTGGTCACTGCCATATTGGAGGGGAAACAGTAAAGATTGTCTTCCCTTTGGAGGGCATAAGCCTCCTTACTACCTGAAACACCCCTCTCCCCTTCATCCCACTGAGATAACTGTGCTCCGGGACAGATTTGCTCTGGCAAAGCAATTGTGGAGATTGTCACAGTTCATGAAAACTGCATCTTATTTCCCTCATGGACCCACAAGGGTACCCACTTTTAGGCTCTCATCTCAGCCGTCAGTGCCCTTGGGTGGAGACCCTCACCACACAGTTCCCTGCCTGCACTCTGAGTTCCCCTGCAGGCCAGACAGCCTCTGCTTTCTCTCCAGAGGCTATAAACAGCATAGTTGCCCACAGTTTTAAACTACCACTTAGCTCTGATGCCCCAATCTACTCAGGTCAATATTACATTTTATTATTATTGTTGCATTCTTGTTTCTCCGGGAGGTCTTATGGAATAAAATGTAGTATTTTAGTCTTTATGTGTATTTCCTGCATAGTCCAACCTCCTTAAACATATGGGAGCTGAGATGTGTTTAATCAGTAAGGATCCATCCTGCTACTTTAGCCTTATACCCTGTACATACTGTACTGGTAGTATTCAGGAGCTGTAGTTTGGGACATCACTGTAGCATTTAGGATCTATAATCTGGGATGTTACTGCTTCAGAAGGAAGTCGTCTGGTCTTGTGTACAGTCTGCCTGATGAACCATCAAACCTTGATTGCAGTTCATCACAATAGATCCAAAGACTTTCTCCTACCAGTGAATCTGTTTCTTATAGGAGATCACAATCAGAAGTATGTGTTGGTACTAACTGAAACTACAACATAGCTTAGGGGAGTACCACACTGTTTGGCATAAAGACAAGTGGTAGTAACCTACACATGCCATACAGTCTTACCACTGCCACAAACTCTGTGGGAGCCAGATTACTGTGCACCACAATGACAAGAACTGTCAAGGACATTGTCCCCAACTGCAAATCTGCTCTGGTGTTTAAAAACACTACCTTTGAAGGATGGAGGGTCACCATCACTACAAAAGGTTTCCCCCCCACCCCCGCTCTCCAGCTGGTAATAGCTCACCTTAAGTGATCACTCTCGTTACAGTGTGTATGGTAACACCCATTGTTTCATGTTCTCTGTGTATATAAATCTCCCCACTGTATTTTCCACTGAATGCATCCGATGAAGTGAGCTGTAGCTCACGAAAACTTATGCTCAAATAAATTTGTTAGTCTCTAAGGTGCCACAAGTACTCCTTTTCTATTAGCCTGGAGAGTAAGTCCAATTGGTACTGAAGGGGTGGCGTCTTATTTTGCACCCAGGGTTTATTAGCCCCAAAATGAGAAATCGGGGCAAAAGGATTTTGTTCTTATCTAAGCGGTAGTTGGACTATACATGCAATCTCAGATCTCCAAGCCTGCTTCAAATCTAAGAGAGAGCTCTACCTGGTGGCCAACTGGAGCAGTAACTTCTAAATCATTAAAAAAAACCCACAAATAAACAAAACCCCCTTCATAATGACAGGTTTCAGAGTAACAGCCGTGTTAGTCTGTATTCACAAAAAGAAAAGGAGGACTTGTGGCACCTTAGAGACTAACCAATTTATTTGAGCATAAGCTTTCGTGAGCTACAGCTCACTTCATCGGATGCATACTGTGATTAGCACTTATTTATTAGCACTGTAGTGTCCAGGAAGTGGATTTGTGCTGGAAATGGCCCAACTTGATTATCATACACATTGTAAGGAGAGTGATCACTTTAGATAAGCTATTACCAGCAGGAGAGTGGGGTGGGAGGAGGTATTGTTTCATGGTCTCTGTGTATATAAAGTCTTCTGCAGTTTCCACAGTATGCATCCGATGAAGTGAGCTGTAGCTCACGAAAGCTCATGCTCAAATAAATTGGTTAGTCTCTAAGGTGCCACAAGTCCTCCTTTTCTTTTTGCGAAAACCCCCTTCGTGCATTGTCTAGTGCAGTGGTTTTCAGACTGTGGGTCTCGACCCAGTACCAGCCAATTTGAGCTGGTGAAGGCAGTGCCTGCAGGCAAGAGCCACATGGAGCTGCTTGTGCGCCTCCACCGAGCCAGACTGGCTGCTGGCCGCTTCCGGGGCGCAGGGCAGTCCATAGTGCCAGGACAGGCGGGAGACCTGCCTCTGCACCCCTGCTGCGCCGCTGACCGGGAGCCGCCTGAGGTAAGCCTGTGCCCCAACCCCCTGCCCCAGCCCTGAGCCCCCCCAAACCTGGAGGCCCTTCCTGCACCCCAAACCCCTCATCCCCAGCCCCACCCCAGAGCCTGCACCCCCAGCCCAGAGCCCTGACCCCCCTGCACCCCAACCCCCTGCCCCAGCCCTGAGCCCCCCCAAACCTGGATCCCCCACACCGCAACCCTCTGCCCCAGCCCTGAGCCCCTCCCACACGCCAAACTCCTCATCACCAGCTCCGTTGTGTCAGAGGCATCAATCATTTTCTTCAACTGGGTCACCAGAAAAAATGTTTGAAAATCACTGATCTAGTGTTCACAGCTAGAGCAGGAAAATGCAAAGGAACATGTAGTGCATTTACCCACTGATCATGCCTACTGTCAGCATCATGCTCACTTATTTTAATCCATTGTGTGAGAGGCTGACAACCACACTCCTGCCTG